GGGGGGGGGTGGAGAGGGTGCACGTTTGGCGCTTTGAATTTAGTTGCAATCACCAAAATGACTCACTGTAACATGAAATCGATCTTGTTATTTTACCAAATTAAAACATGACCCATGCGAACATTTAATACTGAAGCGCCTTAAGGTCAACATTCGTGCTAGCTGCGAGCGATTTTGGTAAATATTGCGTATCTGGAGTAAGTACGCGTGTAAGTTGATCTTTCAGTATTTAATGGGTGCAGACGGCGTTTGGAATTTCCCTTTATTTTTCCTGTACCCAGATAATGCTGGATAATGTTATTTTGCCAGTTTCTGTTTACAGAGTTAAGTGCCAAATGTTTTACGGCTGTATATCACATGTTTCAGAGTGTGCGTTTATTGAGAACAGAAATAACACTAACAAGGACGTGCTATGATTGTCACCCAGCGATCTGGGGCATGAACATACAGATGAAATAAATAAATAAAGAAATAATGAAATTGATTAATTAATAAATAACAAAATATAGATACAGATGGATGTGCAGCTTCAAGGATAATAATTGAAAAAATAAATAAATAAATAAATAAATAAATAAATAAATAAATAAATAAATAAATAAATGAACAAGAAAAACTAGCACATGACTGAAATGAATTAATGAATGAAGGACGGAACAAGTAATACGATATATTAAGTAACAGATAAATAGAAGGTGGAAAATAATTGCTTATTATTATTATTATTATTATCAAATATATTTTGATCTAGGCGGAATCCTCATGTACCTCAGAGCAATGGCCATGCAGTAACGTGTACGCCAGACGTGGTGAAGACGGCAGTCTACGTCGTCGCTCAGGTTACACCACATGTCAGTGTATCCATGACAACGGACAGTGCAGAAAGACCCTAGGCCCGCAGTTTAACTTCTTAAACTCGCTCACATGGGAGATTGCTACGCGTGGGTTTTTGCATGATATAGCAGTAGCAATAGTGTAATTCATTATTTCCAGTGTGTAAAAAATTGTTAGAATCAGCTCCACTTTTTCTGTTCGATTTTCTTTAACTCCGTCTTAATATTTTGCTTGGCGCGACGCCAACATTCTCAAAATTAACTCGTTCCTGTTGGATTGTGATTGTATAGTAAAGTGTAAATGCGAATCAGTAGATATTTATATTTCAGTGACAGTTGAGAAATACGTGATACAGTCTTACTACTGTAAACCACTGGATCTTCCTGATCGCACCTGTAAACCAGGGGAGGTAGCAGCTGGATTTCAAAGCCCGTACGAAGGACACTTGAGTTTCCTTAACTGTACCTGCCCCAACCGAACCGAACCGTTAAAACAGGTGGCAGTGTACAAAATCCCCGGGATAACGTATCAACATTTTGCTTGTGAGAAGGTAAGGTTTTTGATGCTAGTGATATTTTGAGCCGTCCCCTCTTTTCATTTACTGTACATCTTTTTTTATAGAGGTGATACTCTATTTGTTTGCTTGTTTGTTCTTTCTTATTGTTTCATGTTCAATCACGTAAATACTGTAACTTATGCGATTTGCTTTGATTTTTGTAGCCTACATGTTCGGTAGCTGACAACGAGTGCGCCCGAGTTTACGGAACGGAGAAAAACGAACACAGGTCAACCGAGTACCCTTGCGATTGCCCGGATGATCACGTGTGTCCTTTCACTTTCGTTACTTTCAATGTGGCGTCCGCCGCAGAGTACAGCAAAGACAAGATCGGTCGACAATTTCGTAAAGTCTACTGCGTGAAGAAAAGTGAATCAGCTTAATATTTTATCAGAGAGATAACGTTTGAGATTAGCTGTTGTATCTACATGTAACCTCCAGGGAAACATTTTTGAACAACACCGTTAACAAAGACAATATAGCACTATATAGTTTCAAATAGTATAAGGTAGAGAAATACCAAATGACATCGTTTCAGATTTCCTGGAGAAATAATATTAGAACGTATATTTTCTGCTTTCTTTCTGTGTATACCGGTATGTATCATTTATTTAACTTTAACGAGCTAGAGGGACGGATAAATAGGTCAATTTCCGATCAGAAATTTGAAGAAGGCGCAGATTTTAAACTAGTTTTGGCAGCAAGAAGGATTAGTTTGGTTAAGAACTATATTTAAAAAGGAATGAGTTTACTGGGAATCCACGATCGCTTTAAGTGTAACTTCCACATTGGAAAGTGCAGGAAGAACAAAACTATATGCAGGGAAAATCAGGTCATAACGGAACTATTTTTACATGTATTGTATATTTTAATATAAATAACATAATAAATAAGTGAAATGCTAGCGCAATTTTCTTTGACAAACTTTTATTATAAAGATATCAAAACAATAGCAGCAACCGGTGTACAATTTAATGTGACTGTTTGCAAAAATTCCCCATTTAATTAAATCTAAATATATTCTAGTAAGCGAAGCCGTACCTAAAGAACAGACGAAAAAACTTTTTATCAATAAATAAATAAATAAATAAAATAAAATTAAAATAAATAAAACAGAGAATGGGTCCGTGTGCAAGGGGGGGAGAGAGCTCAATTTCTGAAATTTCTGGCAAAATGAAAATCCCTTCGCACCCTTCAACAAGACCCCACGAGGGATAAGGCTACTTTGTGTATTCAAAATGAAACCTAGCGCTAAACTACGACGTTAAAGCAGACATTTTTCTATACGACTGATTAAACTGGGTAGAAGTTGGTATTCGTTTTGATACGTCGTCTTCCAAAACACACCAGGTACAATGTATATCGATAAAACACAGCACTGCACCGGTTATCTTGCACATGGTTCGTTTGCGTATATTACACAACAAGCCTACGTAAGGAGTGTATAGTAGAACCTCCACCAGTATATACGTGACGTTGTGGTGACAAAAAAGAAGAAAATTTTCCATGTATTTTCTGTGTCAAATTTACAGTTGAGGTTGGAAAACAGTGAATCTCTACTTGGATGCAGAAGTAATAGATCCAGTCGTTAAGACTTAAACAAGGTTGCCATGTGCAATGTGCATGCCATCGTATCGATTGTAAGCTTCTATCACAATGTATAATGTAAGCGCTCTGTCATATTATATTATATCATATAATATTATATCATATCTATCACATCATATGGTATCAATATTTTAGTTTCTTCTTTGGTCCAGGATAATAAATAGACAAGTCAGCTTTGTTAGTTTTAAAATAACGTGTTAGAATTAAAAGAAAATGAAAAAGTCCAAATAACTCATTCGCTGTCTTCCCAACTGGGAATACGTTTTACTATTAACCCTCTGATGCTCAGGCTTGTAAAAAAAAAAAAAACGTTTAAACTTGGGTTATCTTCAATTTCAAGTCTGATAATTTTCTTGTTATATTTGGAAAAATGTGTTTGCTTTTCATGTACCCTATAAACTGTTCTGGGATCTCGGCAAGCACCTCTTTCGCAAGAAGTTGGCTGTTTATTACGTTGTCTCGGGAAAGATCGAGGAAGTCTCGGAAGGCAACAAACTGAAAAGAAGAGAAAACTTTTTAAATGATCAAGGAGATATCAAGTTACGCTTATTCATTGGTGCACTGAAAACACAAAATATTATTGAATAAAAGTTGCTGAGGCATACGGTTACGTCAAGCATTGAACAGTAGGTAGAGGGGCGTGGGTTTAAAAAAAGTTGAAACAGTTAAGGTTTTTTTCATGATGCTGATGATTAAAAAAAATCATCAGCACTTGCTACGAGAAAAATGAAAGACACTGTCAGAAATGAAAAAAGTCGGAAAATGCGAGTTGAAACCAACATTTCGTTCATCCAATCTTTCTGACAATTGTCTACGTACATGAACCATGATACGAGTCTCATTAGAAAAAAGTTTTCAAGTGAACTGGTTGGTTCACTGTGTGGGAACACACATTTTAATCTTTCTATACACGGGTAGTTAAAATTAAAGTTTAAGGATATAATAACGTGAACTGGGCTAAAATACTTCAAAAATTCTTTCAAGTCTAACTAATGAACACCAACTACTTCTACAGTAATTAATACCAGTAAAGCAACCTTACCTGCACAATATCTCTCTCTGCCACTTGTCCCTTAAAAGACACTCGTTTGTGGTCACCATCCAAGATGATCATAGCTGAAAGAGCTGGAAATTTGTATTATCTATTACATACCATTGCGGTTGTTAACCTCAGCGGACCCGGGCACAGTGAACGCCACACGTATGTTAGTAAGAGACCATTCCCACAGATATTTAGATCGATCTTACCCCCTGGGGAGTCTCACTAGATTGCTGTCAGCTTAACCGGCTTAAATGTCTGTCCCGCTTACTAAAAGCTGTAAGGGGGTAACTGACTTTTGTGCGCGCTCGGTTCCCCGGAAACTGACAGCAATTTAGCGTGAATCCCTAGGGAGTTAGGTCGATCCTAAATTGCATTCAGCTTAAGCGGCGTAGGTGTCTGGCACGCCTGCTGAAGTTGCTAAACAATAGTTTTAAAATGACCCCCTATCAGCTTCTGTAGGTGTGCCAGACATCTAAGCCACTTAAGCTGAATGCAATTTAGTGAGAATCCCCTCGAAGATAAATTGATCATGCTCGATCAATCTACCTAGGTATGGAAACGGGGTCTTACACAATGCAAAAGGAACTGTCTATTACTAAATTCAATAAAAAATTGTCTATGAATAAATTTATAAATTAACTGTTTACTCTCGGAAGGGATTCATTTGAACTACTCCTTGTGTCATTTACAAAACATTAGAAATATAAATTTATCAATCGCAACAACATGCAGACTGTTTCTTTACAAAAAATCTTGTTGTGGCTTGCCTTCAAAGTCTTCGTTTCCAATTCCAACAATGATTATAGACATCGGTAATTTTGCGGCCTAGAATACAAGAAAACCGTTATGTTAATACACTGCGGGTATGGAATTATTTTTACCGTCATATTCCCCATTTCAGTTCCAAAGAGCACTACTATATATATATATATATACAATTACATTGCTTTAGTATTGATCACACAAAGAATAAACTGTCCATTAAATCGACTTATACAAGTTACAAAATGGCAAAAAATTACATTCATTTATCCCTTTCAAAATTCCTCCATTGAGCAGTGAGTGGATGAGATGGCACGTGCTAAACAGCTCCACACCTGTAAGACCCTGTTCCCACACCTAGATCGATCTAGTAGGATCAACCCATCTCCTAGCGGTTTCTCGCTACTAAAGCTAGGGAGTAATTAACTATGGTTTAGTCGCTTCAGTAGGCGTACCAGACACCCAAGCCGCTTAAGCTGAAACAATTGAGGGAGAATCCCCTCGGAGATGGATCGATCCTGCTAGATTGATCTAGGTTTGGGAATGGGGTCTGAATGGGGTATGAAAATGCAGGGGCAGCCTGAGTCCGTTACCATAACAGTGACAGGACTGAGGAAAATTTTGTTGTGAGCAGTCTTAGCTACAACGGTAGGCTACTTACCAAGGAGAAGTCCATAACATAGTGAACGGTTGAAACTGTATATTCATTTAACCATTGTTCAATCATATAAAACAAATCAAAGAAAGTTGCAACGTAAGTGATGTAATGTCTTTAAATAACTGTAGTAAAACTATAAATAAGATCCAGTGAAGGCATAGCAGAGGTCTTTTTCTGTTCAAGTAAATTTTAATTAAAAGATTTGTTAAGCTTTAGAGGACTTGAATGGTCATAATTTTTATTATCCTAAAATCTATTTATGGCTTTGAGAGCAAAGAGCACCAAAACTGTCCAATCCAAATTAGCCTTGTATCAATTTTTTGAAAGATACCCACAGTTGAAGAGCTTCTTATTAAACCCATACCATTTACACACTAAATATTGTTGACCTAGTCAAGGTACCTTCTTTCTTTTATATCCCCACAATTTTTAGATATCTTGATTGACAATAGAGTCAAGCACCTTGTATGATTAAGGGCATGTTTCATTAATGATGAAGGAAATGAGTTTTTAAAACAAGACAGGAAAGCTGTCATATGTACAAACTTTCAGCAGAAAAATGATGATACATGTATGACACAAAATGTTTTTTTTTCTTTTAGCAATTTTTGATGCAATATTACAAGATCATTATCTGATCAGGCTGGTGGCCGGACTAGAGTTGTATTTTTGGTCTCTGAATCATTTAGACATTTCATAATATGGTTTCTTTTAATTGGTGTTTTACAGTGGCAGTGCACAAAACAGATTTTGCTTGCTTCTCAGCATATTAAATCACCACCAAATTTTAATAATGTATTACAGGTAGTAAGGGCATTCAGAAAATGTAGCTAGCATATGTGAAAAATTGAAAATTTTATTCACACACAAAATAAATGATTAAATAAATAGTCCAATCGGGCAGGTTTACCAGCTCATATTTAATCATAGTGTAATTATTGTAAATTTAAAAATAAAAAAGTTGTCATTTTTGTGTACAGGCACCTTGTGTCTATTCATATAGGCATCACCTGCATCTGTTGTCGCCGTGTAAAGTAAACAAAAGTTTAAAAAAAATTATGTCCCATTTAAGAATGGGAGTTATACATATAACATATTTCAAGGGAAAACAAAAAGTCAATTGTCTTTAAACTAACAAGAGTGATCAATATTAATAAAGTACAGGTAGAATTAGAAAATCAGCTTGATGAGACCCCTTTTTCCCTAAAGTTATGTCGTTTTCCACTTTTTTTAGCATTTGTGCCATACAGAAAACATATTTAGTGGAAAAATGTTTGACATTTTGTCTTCAAACCTACAGAAGTTATCAATATACACGCAAAGTCTGAATAAATACAGGTCCAGTTCAAAAACCAGCCTGATCGGATTATTTTTTATGAAGGTATGCATTTTTTTGTGAAATGTTAATTTTTCTCACATAAAGGCACTTTCAAGGCTCAACTTTAAACTTCCATGGGCCTGAAGACCTTAACTAGTCACATCTTTAAACATCATGCAATATTGCAGCAACATTAAAAAAAACATTTTGGCACTGTAACCAAAACCAGCATTTAAGGAAAATCATGTCCTTTACTATTCTCAAACATTCTCTTAGGCCCCATTAGAATAGATGATCTGAGTACTAACTGATCCGCCGAATAAATATGGCCAGGGGCGGATCCAGAGATATTTACTGACAGTCTTCCAAATTATCTTTGTTGATTCATCCTCCAATTTTGAGCGTCTTCCAACAGGAAAAAATAGATACCCGTCAATGTAAACTTGAAAATCTGACCGTCTTCCGGAAGACCCAGAAGACGGCCTAAATCCGCCCCTGATGGCCAACCACACTTCAAAAGATGGTCTCAGCTCCGAGGTTTTATTGCGAGGACCCTGCAGCGATGGACCCAAATATACATTTAGTGTATTTTTTTAATGTTGTTTTGTTATAGTAATGAATGTAACAGTGCAAGAACTGTTTTTGTCAGTTAGAATGTCCTAGAAGAGATTAAAAACATTTTTCATTAAAAGGGAAAAGCATTTGTTCTAAGACAGACAGAACTGTAAGTAAGATAAATGAGACAATTTTTTTAATGATGATCATAAGTGTGATACCTGCCCATAATATTATAGGTTAGTTCAGTGTAGTTTCTGAAAATTGGCATCAATAATTTTTTTTTTTTGCTAAAAATTCCCATTTTCAGAAAATTTTGGCTCGTTTGACCTTGAAAGATAGGTCAAATCCAAGGGCATATTTGAAATCTTCACATATGACTATTGGTAAGCCATCTGTAGTAACTTTTCCCATAATTCCTTCAGTTTGCGAGATATAAACCATCCAATTTTACAAATTTTGGACAAGGGTGCACTGTGATGACGGCGACACCTAGACCAGAGCACCAACAGTGCCCAAAGAGATGACATTATGTGTGACCTAAATCCAAGAGATGGGTACACAGGCCCTTGTAGTCTAGAAGGAGAAGCGGTAACAATGAAATGTTGGTGGATATGGCAGACGTGTCGCTACTAAAACCATGTGCACTGCCAGCGTCACTTGTGGTACAATAATGTGCAACAGGTAACATCTACATTCAGAAAATGTAAATTATATACAGCTTCAGGCCCATGGAATTTCAAAGTCAGACTTTGAAATTGCCAATTTGTGAAAAAAAAAAGCATGACTTCAATTAATAGAATTTAATGAAATGGGTTTTCCAACTTGAGCAGTATTTAAATCATAATTAAGAGCCATTCTGGCAAGTTTTTGAATAAATAAAAATGTTTTCCTTTTCTGTGTTTATGACTGTGCACCAAAATTCTACATGTAATCATATCAAAATTGGCAAGAGAACAATTTTTGTTTTTCTCTAGTGCGTTTGCCTGAATGTTCCCCGAGATGAACAAAAAATATGATAATACTAAATTCTGAGAACTTTCTTTACCATAATGTACAGCAGCAAAACTGCCTGGTATGTCTGTGTCCCAAATTTAAGCACTGTTGATGTGTTATTTTTGGCTAAGAATTAAAGAGTGGGATACACAGCAATGTCTGGAAAAAAATAAAATAAAATAAAATAAAAATAAAATAAATAAATAAGTACGGGAAAATTGCCCTTTACCCCAGAAAAAATCTATTTTTTGGCCAAAATGAACAGTTGTTATCCCTTTAAAATACACAGTAATGTCTGAAAATACAAAAATTTTGTTATAATAGGACAAATCCATCCCCTTTCACATGAAGCACCGTTCTTGTAATCCAGCGTACTTTCATTAACGGCACACCTACTAAAGTAACAAAAAATTGCTCTTCGTTGCAAATTCTGATGGGTGAAGATTTTGGGTTGCATTTGTTGTGTTTTATCAACTTCAGTACCAAGTATCATCTCCAATACATGTGAACCATACAGAGCTTTCAATATTGGGATTTAAATACCTGAAATACACTCTGCTTTTCAGAACAACAATGTGTATGGGAATCCTGTCAACTGTACACACACCAACATTTTTCTAGATCACTTAGCCATGAATAATGCATGAAATTTATGAGAGAGAGAGAGAGAGCGAGAGAGAGAGAGAGAGAGAGAGAGAGAGAGAGAAAGAATGCCTGAGTGAGTTTTATCCCACTTTTTGATATATAATATAATATAATGACAAAATTATTAAACTAAAAACTAAAAAAAAGCCTGGTGAAGAGTTGCAAAAACGACTGGGTCACAAGCCTTGAGAACTGAGAGTGCCACCAAAGACGATATTTTATTCGTTTGTATTCGACGACTATTTAAGAACGAAAACAATTGTCGTCTGAAAGTTTCTAAAACTTGTCTTATAATATTTTTAATGATTCAATCAACTCCAAAGAGAACTCAGACTACTGGTAGGCCTACCTCAAGTTAAATATGTTTCTATTTTAAATTTATATGTAGGCCTATTCTTCTTCTTCATGTGCCATCACCAATGCGGTGTTTGACGAACGTTGATATTTTGCCAAAGGGTTCTGTATCTCGCCCATGACCAAAGGTGTCTTGTTGGTAATTCAAAATTGTCAAGGAAAGGCTTTTGTTGTCTGCCTCGAGTAGGCCTAGTTTTGCTGAGTTGAGCCCTAAATGACCATCTATCTACACACACTGGACAAAAGAAGTGTCACCCCCTAACTCAGAGTAATAAAAGTAGGCAGATCTTGGGTAATTATAATGTCTGGTCTACTTATAATGTGACTAATGAGTACAAAACCGCTGTACCATGGGATTGTATTGTTGGTCTTGTACATGTACAGCAAATGTTATTCCTGTCTTCCTCCAATATGGCAAGATAAGGCAATTATCTAACGGTTAAAGGTGCAAGTTATTAACCTGAAGAGGCGGAATATAAGCAATGTCAGTATATCGATACAATTGAATTGTTTAGTCAGAACCGTGCAGAGGGTCTGGTCTCGGTATAGAAACACTGGATCAAGAGACAAATTAACGCTGATGGGTCGTCCAAGAAAAACTACTGGCCGTGAAGACCGACGACTGATTTTGATGTCCAGGTTGTCAAAGTTCGATACTGCTTGTCAGTTGACAACACAGTGGAAAAATTTCACACATAATAATGTGTCTGTGAAAAATGCTAGGCGTCGGTTACATGCTCATAGAGTGTACATCAGGGTAGCAAGACTGAAACCTCTTATATCTTTACAAAACAGGCAACGTAGAGTGAACTAGGGTCAACAGGATCTGGAACTGGACAGTCCATGACAATTGGTCCTATATATTTTTTCTGATGAGTGTCGCTTTGGTCTGACCTCTGTTGACAGTCAGTCCGATGCTGGCGAACTTGCTGGTAAAGCATTTGAACCACATGTACTGAATTTTCGAACCCGGAGCAGCATATTCATCATGGTGTGGGGCTGCATCAGCATCCATGGCGTGGGCAAATTGATTGTGGTTGATGAAAACATGAATCACTAGAAATATATCGATGTTTTGGAGTCAGGCTTGCTACCATCTATTACTAACATGTTTGGTGACAGGAATTATCCATTTGTTCACCAGGATGACAATGNGAAAAATAATGATATATTTTGTGTAAATTAAACAAAAATGGAGAAAACTAAAAAATATTAGACCTTACAATCATTGAAAACAATCATTTGGCTTGCCACAGATATATGTAGAATTCAGATAAGACCCTGCTTGGGCGAGCCACACCCATTTATAACACCCCTCCCCCCAAAGTCCAATTTTGATACTACCATCTTTAATTGCATATATCTCCATCTTCACAGGGTTTACAGCTATAAAACTGCATGAATATTTTAGGCAGATATGGGTCATTCCAAATCAAGTTTCAAAAGTTACTGCTGTATTAAAACAGGTACTGAAAAATACCTCCAAAGTTGGCCATTTTTAAGGCAAAAAATCGTGGTGGATTCATTCAAGTCTATGTAGACGATAGGTTTGATTAATTTATTAAACCATTTTGCTCTACAATGATGTTACTAAATTAATAGGGCTGGTGAACATGGAAAGTGGGTGTGTACTAATGAATATCAGGTCAGTAGGTCAAGGTCACTGGGCTTCATATTTGTAAATTGTCATATATGGACTTCTTAATTTATATGGACAAAAAATTTAGAGGAAATAAATCATAGATTCTGTTACTTTGGATAGGCACTGGCAATCAACTTGAGAGTTTACAAGATAATTTTAATATATATATATTTTTTAATATCATCAATTTGGTGAATACAAATTAAAATCTTAGTTTAGTAGCGATTTCTTTTTGGTGCAATATTTATCATATAGAGATCAGGATATGCCATAGTATTTATGATAGCAAAGCCAGAACAAATCTTTTTTAATTATCAAGAGTTTTTTTTTTAATCATCCACACCACTATTTATGAGCATACAGTAACTAAAAAATTATTCAATTATTCAATTTAGTTTATTGTTGTCTCAGATGAATAATTACAAATAATAAAAAAATCACAAAATTATAATATAGCAATACATGCAAAGCAGTGCAACATTAGTTGTGATCATTACAAACTATATCATAATGTAGCAAAACAAGATAATTTTCTATTCAAAAAGCAAAACTAACACAACCGCAAAATATATCCTGGTGTTATGAAACATCTTTGCAGTTTTGTATCAAACATTACAGTTCATAACATCAAAGTTTTTAATACATTCAAAAATATTCTTCCTGAATAGTCTGTAACCCTCCTTACTGACATTTCAATCTCATCTTCATGCTCACAAATGCTAGGTTCTGCTGGCCTGTTTCTTGTGCCCTTCTAAACTCCTTCAGTAAAAACTCCTTTACTTTATTTGAATATAGTTTCAAAGGTTTAGATGACTTTAAAGCTCATCCATTGTGTAACTCAGTGAGATATTCAAGAGGGTGGAGTTCTC